GAGAGGGCACAGGCCGGGCTGAGGAACCCCCCCGAGTGCACAAATTTTTGTGTACCGGTCCTCTTTTATATATATATATAAGCGAACATTGTGGCAGAATGACTGGTTGTAATGACGTGTAGTGATCAGGCAGGCAGGTGAGCGGTTAGGGTCGAGCAGGCAGGCAGGCAGGTGAGCAGTTAGGGGCGAGCAGTAAGGCAGGCTGGTGGTTAGGGGTGTGCAGTCCCGGATTGCAAGAGGCACAGGCCGGGCTGAGGAACCCCCTTACCCTCCGTGCAAGAATTTAATGCACTGAGCCTCTAGTATCCTATGTATCCCAAAACACCAATCAAATAGAATGTATGCACCCCTGTGTTCATAGAAGCATAATTTATGCTAAGACCTGGAAACAGCCCAAATGCCCATCAGTAGATGAGTGTATAAAAAAGCAGTGGTACATGTATACCATCAAAAACTTTGCAGTTGTGAAAAAAAAGAATCTCTTACCCTTTGAGACAGCAGGGAGGGACATACTATGCTAAGTGAGATAAGTCAGTTTGAAAAAGACTAGTATTACATGATTGCACTCAAATGTGGAATCTATGATAACAAAATAATCGTTCAGAATTTCAGAGGGAGGTTGGGGAAGGGAGGTAGGTGGGCGGTAATGAACCAAAGACCTTGTACACAAATATGTATAACCCATGAACACAAACCCTGGAGTGGGGTTCCAGGGACAGACTGGTGGGGGTCGATGGAGGAAAAAAGGGGACATGTGTAATACTTCCAACAGTAAAATATTTATTTTTTTTATAGCCAGATGTACTAACAATAAACTTCCTTCACTTTTGTGAGAAATTTTTCTTCACTGTGAATTATAATTTTCAAGTTTAGAGAATTCTGAGAATTCTAGATTGGTGGTTATTTTCTCTCTTTAAATATTGCACTACATTTCTTCTTTTTAAAAAATTTTTGGCTTTCACTGTTTCTGAGGAAAAGTCCAAAATAACACTTACCTACAGGTAAGGTGACTTTCCTGTGGCTTCTTTCAATATTTTTATTATCATTTAATTTTTACAGTTTGAATATAATAGGCATAGGTGTCATTTTTCTGTCATTTATCCGGCTTGGTGTTGTCTGAGCTTCCTGGTTCTATGCTTTGGTATCTGATATTAATTGGGGGGAAATTCTGAGTCATTGTTTCAAATCTTCCTTTTCTCTTTTGGAATTTGGTATATGTGTTAACACCTTTTATAGTTGTCCAACAATTCTTGGATGCTTCCTTTTCTTTTATTTTCCAGTCTTTTTCTTTTCTTCTCTTTATGTTTTAGTGTTGGAAGTTTCTCATGACATGTTTATTAAATTCAGAGATTCTGTCTTCACTTTTGTCGTTTCTAATGAGTCCATTAAAGGCATTGTTCATTTTTGTTATAGTGGTTTTGATCTCTAGCAATTCTTTTTGTTCTTCCTTAGAATTTCATCTCTCTGTTTACAATACCCACCCTTTTGCATAAGTATGTGTTCATTACAACTGTATTTTATTTCCAGTAAACATTACAAAAAATTTTCTGTAATATTAATCTAGTTAACTCATTCAATACTATGTAGCCATTTATTAACTTAAAATATATTTTTAATTATGACGGGAAATTCTCACATGTTGACCAAAAAAGAAAAAGAAAAAAGGTAAGCAGTGTGACTCCAATTTTATTAAGTATATAAAAATATATATTGATAATTAAAATTTTTTTCGCTAATTTTTGTTAATATCTGAATTGCTAAATGTTGTTCATGTGTGATATAAATTTAAGTCTGGAATATTTTAATTTTTAAGACTTTACTACCTGATTCCTCCAATGAGAATTCTCCAGCAATGCCTCCAGATGAACAAGGTCAAGGTGATGCTCCACCACAACAGGAAGATGAGGAACCTGAATTTCCACATAATGACTTGGCAAAGTTGGATGACATGATCAGCAGGTAGATTTTTTTTTTAGTGGTGTTGTTTTTTGTTTTTTCTTTATGGAGGTAAAAAACGAAAAAGCAAACTACTTTATCAGCAGTGCAACTAGTAGTGAATGAGTAAAGAGTGGATTGCCATGTCATAGCAATCTTACTATGTTTTTTAAAATAGAGGCCCAGTGCACTAAATTTGTGCACAGGGGTGTGTGTCCCTCAGCCCTGCCTGCACCTTCTCCCATCTGGGACCCCTCGGATGATGTCTAACTGCTGGTTTAGGTACAAACCCGCAGTCAGATATACCTATCACGATCAGGAAAC